TATGTATTTAAATTCATGTATTGTATTGGGCATTGGGTATAATTTACATAATATTAAAAAAAAGTAGAAAAAAAAAAACAATTAAACACGCCTATTTATAAAAAAAAAATAGTTTTGACAAAATTAATGGAATAATTCCATTAAAATATTTAATAGTTTTAGATGACTTCATCGGTTATTTAATTAAATTTTTATTTTTTACAAATTGTCCTTAAAAATCCCCGCTATTTCAGGACTTCGCCACAATAGTCTTCATTATTGCTTAAAGCTTGTAACATATAAACATGATATTGTTTGAAATAAACATTTAATAAAATGTTTATCGAAAACAGTGATATCATCAGCCGTAAATGCTCGCGTAAAAGGTCACTGAATATTGGCAAAGCGTATGATTTAATTTCAACTTCAAAGCTTTATTATCCAAGGTTTATGCCGCAGTTTTACTAAAATTAATGTTAATGAATTATGTCTACGAAGTTTTTTTTAAAGTGATTTATTGATTTTCAAAATTTTTAGATATAAACTAAACATACTCAGTATACTAGTTTAACTGTAATTGTTACAAGGAATCTTAATATATATGCACAAGGCTTTTACTTGCAAATAAGTACTTGTAAACAATACATACAGGGATATTTATAATCTCCTTAAAAGGTCGTACAGATATACTCATGTGTTCATGTTCTAACTGTTGTTAAGAAAGAAAATATTATTTACAATAGTCAAGTACAGTCGAGGACGCTTAATCAAAACGCTAAATTATAGCTATTTGATATACGATGCAACGTGGGATGCATATTTAATTCCTTCACTATACATAAATCTGTAAATGCGCAGTTGACATCAGTAAACTCATTAAAGGTTTCATATAATTATAGAAATGTCTGTGACGCAGAGCGCGATGGCAGTGAAGGAGGGATGTCGGGGTTGTTTGAGCCGCAACGGCATTTCCACACGACGTAATGTGGTGAAAAGCCTCGAACCTCCCCCTACTCAGTGGAGGGCCCTACACGTAAACTGATACTAAGCCTCTTAGACGTGCTCGTTAAACCACTTCCTAGACTTCCTAGTCGTATATAATGCAAGCATATGCGTCTACCCTTATCTAATAGTTGGGACTTATATTTTTCTGGATACCAAAAAATTTCAAATTAAAATCGTACTATTTACAAAAGGTTAGATGAATATCATTGGAGTCTTTTATTTACTTAAATTGTGATTTATATTTTAATATTACATCTATATTTTGAATCAATTGAAACTCTCTACTCTCTACTTTAGTACGACTCATACATCTTTGAGCTCATGCCAAATTGAGTTCGTAACATATTTATTACTTCCAGAAACTAGTTTGAGTTAAATTGTGAAATAATTCCAATTCTGTTGAAAATGTTTGTGGTATAATTATTTTGTTGCCTGCCTTGGAAATGAAATTTAATTTCATAACGTTTTCATAAGGCGAGGCATCGTAATTACTTAGTTGAAATACCCCAAAAATATCTACTGTAATTAGCTTTAGTAATGGTATATTAAACTGAAATTAACCTTATTTCTTTTATAATTAATTAATTAAAAAATCATCATCAGCTTGCCCTTATCCCTTACGGTGGGTCGGCATAGTATGTGCTGCAGTTCCATACATTTCTATCAGCCGTCATCTCTAAATCCACTCCCATCAGCGTATCCTCTTTCACACAATCCATCCATACTTTCTTCGGTTCCCCTACCTATGTAAGCATCCACATTCAATCTTAACACTTTCTTGGTTTATATCCCCATCGCCTCGTCGCAAACATGTCCATAATTTATTAAAAACTATTTAATTTAAAGTTATTTATAACTTGAAGAGTTTTTTCTAGTGTTAAGTCAGTTCTATATTTTGTACGAGTGACTTTTTTCTCATTTATCGGTAACAACGGACTCCCCTAATAAAATGGCAATGGGCGCGGAACAATGGCAGTGTGAAAATGTCTATGGCAGCTTGCAGCGTTTATTCCATTGCACCAGTTGCAGACAAAAGTGACGCCAATACAATGAGGAACGATTATACTTTATGGAGTGCTTTATTTTCTATGGTCGAACCGAAAATTGAAATTGAAATCCTTCCACTGTAAATTTCATTTCGAGTAATAACATAACGAGTATACTATCTAGTATACTAATATTATAAAGAGGACGGATTTGTATTTTAGTATGTATTGAAATAACTCAAAAACTATTGGACCGATTTAAAAAAAATCAACATTAAAAGGGTAAGGGTAATCTGTATTTTTTATTATTTTCTAGCAGCTAGTTCTATATATTCTTATGTTGTTAACTAAATAATCTTTTTGCTGATGATGGTATCATGGTAGTTTTATTTACTAAAAAAAAATATAATGTGGAACGTTTTGTCAACTTTTGATATACTGAAATACAGTCGTTTAAGAAATCTTTTGTCAATACAGATTGTAAATAGTGAATATGAATTGCGTTAGTATGTTTTATTTATAAGTTTTATTGATGTGAACACGAACAGGCGATGATCGAACAGCGTCTGGAAAGTTTTCCACTGATAGTTGGATTGCTTTTATATTTGGAAGCTTATTGCTTTCGTATGAGTGTAGATGAATGTTGCATTGATGGTTTTAAAATTAATCCCTCCTATCGGTTATGAACCTTAAGGCTAGCCGGAAGGTTTCTAGCAATTATTTTACTATAGTATGTTATTTGTCTATAGATATTTGTTCTATAACAATGTACCTATCTATACTACAAATAACTAATTACTTGTTTTGATTATAAGTTTACAATCTGACGAGTCATCAATCTTTGAATCAGTAATTCACATACTCGTATAAGTACATTTTTCAATTACACATTTTCAAAGGAGCTCTTCAACTGAATTTATTCATGCGTATTTTTTAATCAGTCTCCAAATTCAACGCCTAAATAAACAGATCACAGTATTTTCAGATCAGTACTGGCCGGTATTGAGTTGTGAGTACCGGCAGCATTAACTGAGGCGTATTTCGAATTAAAATTTACAGTATTTCACGTTTTTAAGAGCCCTAGCTCCCGGCTCCTGCCCCATTGACCCCTGGGAATTTGTTATACTGAGAAGCAATGTTTTCATGAAAATTCTTGACAAGTCACTGAACTTTCAGATACATTTGTGCACAATAAAAGTCTAATTGTACTGTAATTATGAAAATGTAAATAAACTCAACAAAGATAATAATAAATAGAAAGGTAGTAATTATAGCGACATTGTATTCACTTTTAGGTTAACTGCGTTGGCTAAGTATTAAAGTCTCGTATCGATCTTGTGGCTACACGATTCGTAGAATTTGGTCATGTTATCGATTTTTACGGTACAATTGTCGCTAACTTGACCCGATATCTACGTAGAGTTAATATTAAAAATTTGCGACAAAAATGACACAAAAAAGTGTAAAAGCGCTAGAAGCGTTACTTTATTTTACTCCAGAAACAAACTCTTTCAAAGATAGCTGTAACATGTGTACTTCAATATAAATTAAGGATTTTATATTATCTCTGACGTTAATTAACCCTTTATCGTAATTTTATAGCGAGAGGAACATTAGAAACGTATGTATTTGGGTATTTGACATAGCCAGTGGTTATAAATCATTGGTGATTCAGACAGCATCCAATGAGTCAGGATATAGAGGCACCGAACTCGGAAATGTTAACACATGATACAATTGGTGCACACCTAATGCATGCGGGTAAACACATCACAATGCTGTTGAACTTAGATCGGTGAAAGAATTCAAGCTGACAGTCAAACATTGAATGATACTGCGCCTAAGTTAAATGGCAGATAATAATGTCTAGATTAGACGAAGTGGGCTAAAGGAAGACACGAGAGGGATGTGTCAGTTATCTATTTTCTAGTTGACAATCTAACTATTGGCTTCTATTGACCTATTTTAATAACTCAGTAGTTAGATTTAGTATGTCACAGTTAAGATCTACAAATGACAATCAAGTCACAATTACTATGGCTTTTTTTTATTAATGTAATCTTACGATCTCGAGTTCAAACCCTTTGATTTTCTAAGACGGTTTTGCTCATGTACTTTCGTAGTAGGAGTTAACACGGATATGGCGACTGGCCCTTACTTTCCCTAACTCGATCGACCTGCTTTGATGTAAAGTGTTACAGATAAGCTTTACCGTATAGCTTTGATGAAGTTAAAACTTTAACTCACTTTGAAACCTATCGCCCCAAAATAGTAGTATCTTCACGTTAGGATTTCGTAAAAGTTGTAACTCATTTTGACATATGAGTTTAAAGAATTGTAGTAAGAACCTGTGTACAAAAATTGTTTTGTAATGAGCAATTTATTGTAGCGATGTCATGCTACTAATTATTCCTATTCGTCATACATATGATAGCGATACATTGTTTTTGCCTTCGGAACGGTTTGCGGCCGCCATGACACCACGCCGATGAGAAACTTGTCTTAACGGTCGTCCGTACTCGCTTACATCTGACGTCATCTCTCTTAATAAACCATAACCGCTGCGAATGACTTCCGATAGGTTATACTAACGAATACTAGTCGTATTGAATTTTACTACTCCTATAGAAGTTTAGGCTACGTGTTAGTAAATGGCTAGACTAGGTTAGTTGACCTGGGTGATCCGCTGACCTTGTGCTAATGCTAGAAATGACCTGACCTAAAAATAAAAACAAATTAACGTAAATGTCCTAGGGTGACAAATAGTCACTTTCGTATATTTATTGATGAACGTATGTGGTGCAGTGTTATGCAAGGTATGGTCGTTGTCGGCATGCAAAACAGCAATCAAACACCCGCATAATAAATACATTCTTCAGTAATAGCTTCTTATTATCCCTATACTTTTATCTAGGAAACTATAATTAAGCTTCCACTTTCACCCTTGATCCAAAAAAGAGGTCACGGATACATTTAACTAAGAAAACATTTGTCATAAAAGAATTAACTAATGTAACTTTTTGTCTCCAGATACCGATGGATCAAAAACGGCAAACCATTTGAATACTCGAGCTACGACACCCGAATCTCCCAGCAGCCAGGGCGAGGCACGTTGGTTGTCAGTAAGCCCCGGGATGAGGACCTCGGACAGTATCAATGCTTCGCCTACAACGAGTGGGGCACGGCCACATCGAACTCCGTCTTCGTGCGGAAAGCCGAGCTCAATTCATTCAAGGAGGCTGACGGACCACAGCAAACCATCACTGCCCAGGAAGGCTTCCCTTTCAAGCTTACCTGTGAGCCCCCCGACGGTCACCCTAGCCCCAATGTCTACTGGATGTTGCAAGGAGACCAGGGCCAGCTCAAAACCATTAACAATTCTCGAATGACGCTCGATCCCGAAGGAAACCTCTGGTTCTCGAACGTAACTCGATTCGACGCTAGCAACGACTACGCGTATACTTGTGCCGCCAAGTCCGTGTTCCGTAACGAGTACAAACTCGGCAATAAGGTGTACCTAGAGGTGCAGCAGACGGGTCTTTCGCCGGCGCTGAACAAGCACGAACCTGTCCGTCAGTATACTTCTAGGAGAGTCGAGAAGGCATGGCGTGGGAAGAAGGTCGAACTCTACTGTATCTATGGAGGAACGTGAGTATATCAATTATGTCCCTCCATACCCTATTGTATGTTTTCTATAACAATATATTAAGAGGAGGTTAGTATTAAAGTTTGCAGAGTTAACTAGTAATTTCCTAGGTGCCCCAGTTCCATTGAACCTTGCACTAGTTCTAACAGGAGTTTCATGACCTAAATTTTCCTGGGAATTACGATCAATACAGCTTTTGACATAATTTTAGATAATGGTGCCAGGATATTTGGGTTATCGTGAATTATGAATTCTTTCATAGTTAATATTTATATAGTTTTATTGTATATAGTGTCTTAGTTTAGGTAAACTATTATACCTAATTCTAAAAAGTTCATAGTGTTAGTACTTAAGGATTATTTCAAAACACTCATTTACTTGCAAAATTATTATATAGTTCACTATCACGTCACCTCTCCAGGGATATTTGGTCACGACAGTCAAGTGCCATGAGCACCTGTGACGTAATAAGCAACACCTGTGACGTCATATTTGTCGCTTAGTGCACGTAGGTATTGATTTGGAAGCGCAGCTCGCCCACACCGCGGACAGGCGACCCCGGGTCACTGGGCTAGTGTCCGTAATTGTCAGCGATTACGTCATACTGACAGTTATAATAATAGATGCATCTGATGATTCAATTGTTCATGTGCTTATCGTATTTTTATATTTAACGGACATTATTAATATTAATTAGTATTATTTCTGGTAAAATAACAAATTCCATAAAGTTGTTAATCAAAACAATAAATTCTTTTGATAATCTTTTATATAATTTGGATTAAAACTGGAAATGGTTGCAAAATGTCTCTCGTCGAGTTATTAATAAAACTATGGACTCAATACAGGATTAACATGGAGTCACCTGTGATCTTCATTGCTAGCGTCCCCTAGCGATGACATTTTCATGACATACAAACACACAATATTGAAAAGTAAGATTTTGTGTTGCTTATTTTGTTTTCATGAATTCTTTTGTGTTTTGGATCACAGGAAGCAATATACTCTCAATTAATAATTCATACGTCTCCTAATCGAACCTCGACCGTTTATCAGAAAATAACTCAATGAATCATCTTGAGCCGGCACATTCGTCATGGCCGTCGTTAATCTGTATTATAACGCCCGTTCTCTATTTCCGTCTACTGCCACTGATAAAACCTAGCAAAGAATACAGATTGACCCTAGAAATATCAAAAAATAATGAACAAAAGAGGCAATGTACATAAAATCCTTTCCCTATGTTAAAGCACATCCTTTACTTGCAGGCCACTACCCCAGATAGTATGGAAGAAGAACGGCAGCCGTATTCTATCATCCCAACGGATCACGCAGGACAACTACGGCAAGACATTGGTGATCAGACGCGCTGGCTACGAGGATCAGGGCACGTATACCTGCGAGGTCAGCAATGGTGTTGGCACCGCGCAGACGTACTCCATACAACTTAATGTTGAAGGTAAGTACATCGATTTTATAGAAATGTAGCGCTTCGGATAGCCAGCAATATGGTATCTACGCTAAAGGTTTTATGTCATCTATAGAGATCTTGTAATGCAGCAGGGGTAAATACAAAATCTAGTAAAATGGTGTAACTTGTATTCCAGTTACTAGAATAATGTGTATAAACATGCCAGTAAACTCTTCTAGAAGTTAGAGACGAGATTTATAAATGACAAGCTTCGTAACCCTCATTATCCCTTCCCACAAATTATCGTATAACAGCTATAAAAATGTATATGTCCTTTTTCTTAAATGCCAATTACGCTAAAACCCTAAAAAATCATCACAAAGTTTTTGTGTTCTGTTATGTAAGATAAATTCAACATGAATAAAACAAAACTTGCGATGCTTTAGCGTGCGTTCGCACGGGCAGACTTTGTACGCCGCGGTAAAGTTCAAGGTCAGCAGACTTTTTACGCCCACGAGATAGGTGTTCG